CAGGACCCCTGGGACCCCCCCTGCGGTGGCTGGTGAGGTGGTGCGGCTGCCCACAGGGCTCTTGGCTGGGGTCTGATCGAGGCACCCAGTCCCTTGGGGGTGTAGGGGTGGTTTTGGGGGTATTTATGGCCCCTTGGACCTCCAGGAGGGCTCAGGGGTGCTCAGCCGGCACAGTGCCGGGGATGGGGCCACCATAAAGCCTGACACCCACCTGGGAGGGTGGGTGACCTGCCCAGCTCTCTGCCTGCATCCCCCTCATCCCCAGCTCTTGGGAAATGTCCCGGCACCCTCCCAAGTCTTCATTCACCACATTTCAGTCCTCAAGTGTTTTCATCCTGGCTTGCTGGGGTTATTTAGCAATGCTGGGGCGAGGGGATGTGCCCTTAGCTGTGCCCACGTGGCGGGGGGGTCTCAGCCCAGTGACCCCCAGTGCGATGCAAAGTGGGCTGGAGCGGTGGGAGCTGCCGTCCCTCCGGCTGTTGGTTCAGCAGCGGAGCAGAGGATGAAGCTGTTAAATATTTATAGCTGCTGTTAGAGCTGGTTGGGTAAAATGGCAGGGGAAATGGAGGGGGGGACGATGACGACGGGACGGTTCTGCTCCCCTGCGGTCCATCTGGCCCCCACGCTGCTCCGTGCAGTGTAGTCGCCATCTGCTCCCCACGGGGGCTGCTGCCTGCCCCCACCCGGGACCAAACAGCGGTACGGCAGGGCCGTGGGTGCCAGAGGTGTTGTCTCTGCTCCGTTGCACAAGTGCAATGAGTTTAGCGGTCTCGGGTGATGAGCAGAGGACCGGGAGAGGCTGCGCGCGCAGCCCCATGTTTGCTCACCCTGTCTCCTGGGTCCCCACCGTAGACTTGTTCAGATAAGAAAATGAGGGCGTGTGTGTGTGTGTGTAATTGCTAACGAGGATGTGCATATGCTAATTCAGGGCTGCCAATTATGGCAGGTCTCGGGACCGGGCCTCGTGGGCCGTGTCCTGCCCCGGTTTTGGCCAGGTGAGCCCCGGGCAAGGTCAGGCAGCGGCAGGGGCAGCGGTAGCCGGCTCAGCTCGTCTTGGCTCAGCATCTCCTGGATTTGGGTGCCCAGGCCCCACAGAGACCCCCATGGCTCTGGGTCTGGGGGACAGCGGGGCCTGGGATGCTGCTCGGGGGTCTCTGGCCCCCATCCCCCATCCCGGGGGAGCAGGGATGCTGGCAGGACGGGCACTGGGAGGATGCTCCCACCACCCTCCCTGTGATTCTTTTTTTTCCCCCCCTCTTGATCTGGCACAAAACCTGCCCCGGTGTGAGATGGCAGCGGGTGAACGAACCCTTAATTAGCTACTTTAGGGATTTGGCTTTATTAATGGCATAAATGATTATTAAGGATGAATTAAAGCTACCGGCCTCCAGATAAAGGATGACATGGCCCAGCTGGGATTACCCACATGCATTGCGTGCCTAGACTGGGGACCTTCGGCTTCGTGGGGTGCTCCCCCCCCACTCCCCTGTCCCAGTCCCCACATCAGCAGCTGCTGGATGCTGGATTTGGCGGTGCATCAACCAGGGATGGGCTGGTGTTTTCAGGGGGATGAGGAGGAGCTGGGGGGGGTGTCTGTAGTGCTCCGGATGGGGTCTCGCTGCTGCAGGGCTCACCCAGCAACCTGGGACCCCCCCGTGACCAGAGCATCAGGGTCCTGAGGGGCACCAACACCATCTCTGTGTTGCCTCTGGAAGGTGGCAGAGGCTTTGCCTGCTGCATTGCGGGAGAAAAATGGGCATTTTTGCAGGCTCAAGTGTGAAATCCGTGCTGGCTGTTTCTGTCCCCCCCCCACCACGCTGGGGGCAGAAGCTCGGCAGGATGCCCGCGTGGGGCAGGTTTGTGGGTTGGGGGCTGCCGGCAACCCCCGTGCTTGCAGCGTCCGTCCTCCATCTGTACTGAGTTGGGGTGGGAGCGAGCTGGACGGAGGTCCCGGGATGTGAGCAGCACATGTGGCCTCCCAGGAATGTCACGATGGGCTCTTTGGGGAAAACAGCCACTTCCCATCAGCTGCATCCGCTGGGAAGCAGTGAGGCGATTCCCGGTAGGCAGCGGGATGCTGAAGCTTATCCCCTGTGCACGTGCCCCATTTTGGGTCTGCGCAAGGGAGGGCTCAGTCGTGCCCCCAGTAGTGCTGAGCCCCATGGAGGGCGTTTCTGCCTGGCTTTTTGCTCCATGACCCACCAACACGGCCATTATTCTGGGGTCCCATGCTTGGGGGTACCCCCGGATGGGTCCCCAGCACCCGCTGCCCTCCTGGCTCAGGGACCCCACCGCAATGCCAGCCGGCTTCTCCCTGGCAGCTGCCCGGTCCCGCTTGGCACAGGCAGGATGGCTGCCGAGCTCGTTAGGCGCAGGTGTGGGATTAGCCATAATTGCCGGCACTTTGATGTCCGTAACCTCCTCCCCGAGGGATACTCGTTACCTGCAGCAAACCTGCGCCTGGCATCTGGCTGCTAATCCTGGGATTAACGGATGCGAGGAGGGCCGCAGATGGAGCCCGGCCAGGCTGGGACCCCCGGGGTGCAGCGCTGCCCGCAGGCCGGGCACCCTTTGGGTTGCCCGGGACCCCTGGGATCACCAAAGCAGCTGGGTCCCCAGTGAAGCCACCTCCAAGGACTATCCGGCTGCTCCCAGGGGAATTCCCACCCAGGATGTCCCCTGGGTCATCAACCCCTCTGGGGCCCCTGGGAAAGCCCCTGTGCCTTCAGATGATTCAAGGGAACTGGGAAGCGTCCCCTGCTTCCCGAGACAGCCCTTCCCAGTTGCAGGAAGAGCCTTTTCTGGGAATCCAGTAAACTCCATGTCGGGGCCATGTCCCTGCAAGAAGGAGGGGTGCAGGCACCCTTCGGGGCTGGGAGGCTCTCTCAAATTGCTGGACCCGGAGGAACCTCCAAGCCCTCCCGGGCATGACTGGGAGCCCAAAAATTGCAGCCAGGGTGGCTGCAGCTGGGCCAGCCCCAGTTGGGCTACCCCGCAAGGGGATGGGCTTCGTCACCCCAGGGCTGCCCGCTCAGCCTGGCTTCTTCTCGCCCCCCCCAAAAATCTCAGCAGGGTGCTCAGGCTGGTCAAAGGGAGGGGTGGAAGGAGAGAAGGAAGACTCCAGTCTCCATCTCCAAGTCTCCATCCTGAGCCCAGTACAAAACCGGCTCCCTCCTCTGTGCGCCGGCACTGGACCCCCCGAGGAAAGTGGGGGGGTCCTGGCAGGAGCTGTGGGTCGGGGGGGGGGTTGGGGGGGGTCTGTGCCCCCCCACCTCCCAGCCAGGCACCCCCTTCCCCTCCCCGTTTCATGGGCCGAGCACCCCGTGGCTGCGTGCTAACCTCAGGGTCCCCATTCAATGGGAGGAAGGAAATCCTCATCCTCGGGAAAGGCTGGACACGACCGTTTCCTCCCGCCGCGGTGAGGAGGGGGCCCGGGCACAGGCACACCCGCCCACGGCGCCCCAACATCACCCCCCCCTGTTCCCCCCCACCCCATCCCAGTTAGCAATCCCATCCAGAAACTGGATCTGGCCCTGGCTGGGGCAATAGAAGAGCCAGGACCCAGGCTGGGGGGGGTCTCTCTATCTCCCCCCAGACCCCCAGGACCTGCCGGGGGGGTCCTTGGGGTGGGGGGGGGAGCTTCGTGCAGCTTTCCCACGCCAGCGAAGCACCTCTGCCCTTCCCCGTGTGCAGGCGGGAGTCTCCGTCCCCGTCCGGTGCTGTCACGGGTGGGGGTGGACTGCGTGGGGGGGACGGGGACAGTCCCGCAGGGGTCCCCCCCCACCCCCCAGCTCCTCCTTCCTCTTCCTCACCGTGCCCTTCGCCCTGCTGACACGCAGGGGTTGATAACAAACCGGCGAGTGGCGGCGGGGGGGGCTTTGCTCCCCGTGGGCCTTTGGCCCACCCCGACACTTTGG